TCCCATTCAGATCATTGTTTAGATATTACAAGAATGGTTAGTAGAAGGAGGCCACCTCATGTGTATTTACCAATTTCAGCCGTTACGCACATGACAGATTATATATCAACGTGTCAAATATTAAGAGCAGCTGGTAGGATAGATCCTGATCCTAACAAGTGGTTACCAAACTACAAATTGATAGGTGTTAAACACGATGATTTATTATCCTTAGATAATGAATTTAGCCCGAGAAAAAATATAAAAGTACGTGTATTTGATATGGATCATTCTGTGCCATGCTGTGGTTATGGTTTCTACGAATGTCGACAAAAACTAAAGAAAGAGTTTCAACATTTAAGTGGTAAAGATATTGGAATGTTAAGAAAAACAAATGGTGTGGAAGTAACGGAGGAGGTGATGATACCGTTGTTTGCTTTTATGGGCGATACAACAGCTGTAATTTTCAATGAATATGGAAAAGAACTTTTACAATTTCCTGTAATTATTGTTGAATGTTCATTCATTGATAATGATCTACACGGTGAAAGAGCTGCTGATGTCAAACATATTATATGGGATGAATTACAACCATTTGTTTTACAACATCCAAATACTATTTTCGTATTAATTCACTTTTCACAACAATACAAATGTGAACAAATTAAACAGTTTTTTCAAAAGTTGAATCTACCGAATGTTGTACCGTTTCTTTAAACAATTATTTTATACCTTTTTCAATAATACTCATCTCTCTAAAACGAATAGGGGGCGTTTTACCTGCACTTTCTTCTATAGAATTTAAAATTCCCTTTGAATTCATGCCGAAATTTTTTTCCAACAGTTTCTGACAGTTCCAGTCAAAATCTGGAACCTTTAGAGATAATCAATTAGTTTTTTCACCATTAAGGAGCCCTCCCCTTGTTTTGGGCTTTTCGTAGAAATGCGGTGAAATAAAAACTAAAAGTCACTAGGGCTTCGTAATTTCAAAAATGATTGGAAACTCAATGGAGCACCTTTTCATTTTTCTTTCAAGTTCTCAACTGCCGTCACCAGTTTTTCAGTTCAAAATTTCACCAGAGGTACTCAAGGTCATTCCACTGAGGTAATTTTTGGGAAATTGTTTTGAAACCTTTCCTAGTCGAGTTATCGGAAAAATACTGAAAAACGTCTCGAAAAACAAGTTTTTCAATTTTAGAAATCCTATAAGTCGGTAAATAAAAGTCTAAAGCAAAGGTCCAAAAAATTACCTCTGTAATAGTATCTTGAGTATGTTAGGTAAAATTTTGAACTGGATGTTAGAGAACTACCTCGATTTCGTTCTCTAAACTATATTTCT